AAAACGCTGCCGCACATTTCTAGCTGTTCTCCACCGTCTGCAAACTCGTACATACATATAAATATGACCGCAGCCGTCACATGCAAATGTGCGGAACGTCGTCGCCCGAGCTTTGGCCACTTCTGGCAGATCAATCAGTGACGTAGATAACGCGCTAGGAAGAAATACACCAAAAGCATACGAATGGAACGCCCAACACTTTCCAACAATGCACCCACTTAAAAAAAGAATTATGTATACCTTATTCTGATTATAGATTGGCTCCAGAAAAAGTCGTTATGTTATTTTAAATCATGCTAAATGGAATAAAGTCGTGGAATCATATATATGACATAAATAAATAAATAAAATTAAATCAATTAAATAAGTATAAAATTTATAATTTTCTAATCGTCTTAAATCAAAACCGTGTAAAAACAGAATTAGGTGTATATTCCTTTTTAAAATAAATGATCTATTAGGTAACTGCACCACAATAACTACAAAATGATCATAGAAATTAACGGAAAGACGAACATGTCCTTTCATTCAACTCAAAAAAACCAAAACAACATAAAATTTAGTAAAACATTTTTGAAATTTGGCGTCTGCCTTTAATTTGATGTTTCAAAAACGAAAACTCAGAAAAGTCTATATTTACCATAAAATTCCATTACTAGTAGAAGCAACTAGCAACTAGTTTTGAAACAGTCTTTTTTTCCAAAATCCAGTGATTTCATAATAAAGTTTTATAATAAACAACATAAATTTGGAGTCTGCCTTTAATTTCATGTTTCAAATACGTAGACACAGAAAAAATTTCTTTATTTACCACAAAATTCCATTAGAAGCCACTAGCAACTAGTTTTGAAATAGTTTTTTTCCAAAATCTAGTGATTTTATAATAAAGTTCAGTCGCCCTACAACAAAAATAATTCAATCTTAATACCACTAAGAGATACTTGGCCTACATTTCAGAAAGTTTATTTCAAAAACTATCTTCTCTTAAAACTAAAGGAACATAAACAAAATATTTCTGGAGTATATCATTTATAAGGCTTGTCAAGAATTTCCCAAAACTCGCAAAAATAAAACAATTTTTTGGGTTTTTTATTTGAGGACGACTCTGCTTAAAACTACGGGTATTTTTCTACAGTTTGGGACATATATTATATAGACTTTATAATATAGACTGCTGATATGGATTGGATTCATGTGCAATTCGTGTATTATGTTCGTATGTAACTGACGTGGGAATGAATCATGAACAAAATATTCGAATTGTAATTGTTTTTAAAACAAGTCATGTACCCCAACTTTTAAATACTACGTGTAGAATAAATATACATAGCTCCTATAGTGCCTAAGAACCAGGTGTTCACACGGACGGGCAGACAGACAGGTAGGGCTAGATAGACTTGTCTTGTCATGCTGATCAAGAATATACTTGTATATACTGTGTGGAGTGTGGCATGCTTCCTTCAGTTGTTATATTTGTCCGTTTTACAAACCTTAAATCCGTTCTGTTACCCTTGCACCTGTCAGATACAGGTATAAAAATGGGACAACATAATTTTGAAATACCTATGAGCATATAAAAAACGCTTATTACTATTACTTATTACGTGCGATAAGACACAATGTGCCAATATCAAGAATAATTCGCTTTCTGATGATTTTGTAAAAACTGTATCATACAAAATGTTAACTGATGAGGTAATATATATTATTGAATTATCGAAAAATGTACTTTTCGCTCTCATTTCATTTCCTGTTGATTGCTTTACCCAAGTAGTCCGACGACGATATATTTATCGGCCACATCATATGGTGTTTTTGCAATTATCATGCCAAGCAAATATTTACGGGGTCCGCGAAGCGTCAACATCTTAGAAAAGTTATCTCAGCACTTACATATTTGCCCATCCACACCAATCAGAAAAAACTAAGGCGAGAAGTTGGCTTGTAATTTGCCTTTAGATAACGCCAGCAGTCTCAAAACGTTCAACATTGGTATTACTGAATGAGATCAGCTCTTATATGTACATACATCACATAGAATTTTTGATCCATATACTTAATTGCTAAAGAAGAAAGGAATGGTAATGGGCTCCCACAAACACAAAAAAATGTAATTTTTTATTTATATTAAGTTTTTTAATAACATTAATCAATTAAGGAGAAAGCCAATATCCAGACAAGTCACTGACGAATCGGCACACGAAAATACATTAGCAACAAATTACAAACAAATCCATTAATATACATATGTTATCTTCCAATATAAAAAATGAATGAATGAATTTTTGAATGCTTAACAAATTAGAATAATGAGTTAAATAATGACAGAATGTCAAAAATAATGCAGAAAATCTAATAAAAGAAAGAAATATTCGAGAATTTTTTACAACATTCTACATTCGTTTTCATATCTCGATACGTCTTTAAATAACAAAATAATATAAAATGCAATCAAAACTGGCAGCCGAAATAAGAAACTCTATCAATTTATTAATGTAGCCCCAAAAGGTATTAAGTAAGATTAATCAGTATTCTGGGTACTGTCGCTGTAACTAATACGCACATGAGTCATAATTTTAAAATGCAGTCGAAATAATGTATTGGATTCGCGACTTGCATAAGAAACGCATTTAAAGTGTTACAATTAAAGCCAAATGACTCACATTGACACACTCACACACACACACAATCGAATACACACTCGTAACTAACTGGATGGACAGAAGCTACAGGCACTTGCCAAAAAAAAACGCAAAGAAATAATAATAATACAAAGAAACCGCTGAGAAAGCACAAGCATGCTTGCGTTTAACACTGCTTGCCGGGGAGCTCTGACGAGCTCACGAACGAACAGACGCACCCTCACACACTCACACAACACACCGATACGAACGCTCTCCACGATCGGCACGAACGCCAGGCGAAGCGAAGCTTTTTTGGCATGCTGGCTGCTGCGTCGACGCCACGCTCCTCTCAGATCCCAAAGAACAGGCGACGCGTTCACATCGTTGCAGCTCGCGTGCCCAACGCCAGCAGAGAAGAAATTCATTTAAACAAAAAACAAAAAAAGTAACGTCTGCCAACCACAACTCGTTGCAAGTGGAATTGAAGTGCAAAGAAAACATATAACAACTTAATAAATAATAATAAAAGGAAATCAAGTGCGTGCAATTACACAAACAATAAAAATCTAGAGTGAGTGCCTTTGTTAATTACTATATGTGCAATAAAAATTAAGAGGCATTTGCGCATATTTTTAGCATACTCGTGTGTATGTCCAGCCGTCCAACTGTCTGCCCCTTCGACTTGCCTCCAACACTTTTGCCAACGATCGCGTGTATTTTGGCAGCTGTTCGCGTTGCCGGCCGCCTTTTTGACGGCCCCTATTTGTTCTTTTTAATTTAAACAAATTCAATTTCATAAAACATTGAAACAAACTGACGTAGGCGTCTCTCATTCTGTCTGCTAAGTGCGTGTGTGTGTGTGTGTGTGCTTTTTTTTCTGCGCCCCTGCCAAGCGATAATGCCAAACGATTTTTTATGTGCCACCGATCTGTTCAAATCTTGCAAATTGTGACAAATTCCGAGATTGCACAGCTGTGGGCGAGGCGTGTGCCACACGCAAATATACACATACATACATATACAATAGACATTATTAAACTAATTTTGTGCAACTTGTCAAAATTGTGTGTGAAATTTAAATAATTATAAAAAAAACACAGATTTTGAATAAGAGAAAAAACTAGAGAGAAAAATCAAGATTTTGTTGCCCATTGTTTTTCCATCAAACATACTTGCATTATCCTCCTTCACTGAGCGAACCGAATAATTATTTTAAAATAAGTAATAAATATCTTAATCAGGTTTAAAACGACACATAGCAGAAATGAATGAATGTCCTTAAAAAATTGCACCACAAATAATAAATAAACACAATAAAATAAAAAAAATTCACTTTATTGTTTTAAAAAAATAATAAAAAGTTAATATAATAAAGTGTTTGTTGTAAACAGCCAAGCATTTATCAATAAATTAAAATATCAATAATAAAAGAAACAACATTAAAATATTTAAAAACTAGATTCAACTATAAATGTTCAACTTTTGAAAAGTCTTAAGTCTAACAATTGAAAAGTTGTTTTTATTCTTTAAAAGAACTATAAAAATTAACTGACAATTGACAATATATTAAGGTGTTTTCTTAAATAAAATGGTTTTTCTTTTTCTCCAGCCCAATTAATAAAAGCAACAACAATAAAAAGCAGGTTTCTTTAGCAACATTAAAATTGATTAAAAAAAAATTAAATTTGCTTAGATAAGTCGTTAATTTAATTTTGAATAAATTGCATTTGCTTTTTATAAATTTTTGTAATGGTATAGCGCCAATTTCCATAATTCATATTCATAATTAATTTATTTAAAAAGCTGCAATTAAATATTTTTTAAAATTAAATTTATTTACTGATACAGAAAAATTAAACGAAAACGTGATGAAATGAAAATAAAGATATTTTCTTTGATAAACTAAATATTTCATTTGTTGCTAATTACCCAAAAGTTAAGCAAATTGAAGTGGTTTAAATAAATATGTTAAGCCCAAAAAAGTTTAGGCTTTACTTTAAAAATCGCGGTTAAAAAACACTTTGTTTTAATGATGCATTTTTGATCAATTGCAGGTTTTATAAGCTAACAAATAAATAAAAATGTTGAATTGTTAAAACATACTTAAACTGAACAAATGAACTCATTCACGTGCGTAACTGAATTATTTCGAAACACCAGCAGAATCGTTAGTTCTTTGAATATTGCCGCGATAAGCAACTGGATGAAAACATCATTAAACTAAAACAAAAGTTTCTTGTGTAAATCCGAATGTGAATTTTCACGAGAATCGCGGCCAATAATAAAACGTGTCAAGACTGCTCATAATCAAGAGCCAGCCGCACAGCACAATTTGTTTAAATTGTGTTCGGTGTGTGGGGAAAAAAAGAAAGAAAAATGAAGTGTGATGTGGCGGTCTTGCTTTTGCCGGCTCTGGCCATTGGCCTGGCAACAGGCTGTGAGGGCTATATAGGCAACATCAACCACAACGCCTTGCCACGCCCTTCACAGGACCATGTGAAGGCAAATCAAACAGCAACAACAACAGCAATAGTAGCGGCAGCAACAACAGCCAGACCTTGGCAATACAACGGAGGAGACAAACAACACACCCACCATAAAACACAACTAGGCGGCCAGCCAGCAACAAAGCCTGCTCCACTCGCGATATATAATTATGAGGCGGCGGCGGCGGCGGCGGCGGCTGCGGCTGCGACAGCACCTGAAGACGATGGCAATCTCAATGACACCTCCGATTATTACAGCGACAACGATGACGATGATAATGATAATGATGATGCCAAAGTCAGCATCGATGTTTACCTGTCCAATTCTCAGGCCGATAGACACCATTGGAGAGGGACCACAGATGTTGTTGCTCGGCCGGACGCAGCTCCAAAGCGCGTGCCGCGCCATCCTCAGCACTACTTGCCGCGCCACAATAGACTCGAAGCCGACTTTGATAAGGTGAGTTCTGGGAAGTCATAAAATATCTGTATTTACGCCTGCAACAGCACTTGTGTGAACATATTTGCCCGCTGCCATCATCATGATCATGATCATCATCAGCATTATCACACTGCGCTACAAGCCAAAGTTATTTCCAAGCCAGAATACTCATCACTTGCTAAATGTTTCCACTTACCAAGAGGAGTACAATTTTGTAACACTCTTGTACTGCGTACACATCAGTGTTTCAAATTTGGACTCTCCAGCCCTTTCAGTCTCTGAGATATAGGTGTTCATACAGACGGACAAACAGATGAAGCTAAATCGTCCCTAAATCCAATTTCCACTAGTCCAAAACTTTTTCGCTCACATTTGCGAATCACAAGAAATTTTATCCTGGTTTTAAAACACCAAAATTTTTTGATAATCAGGCCGAAGATTATTAGATATATTATATTACAATTAAAATTTCTTCAATTTAAATGTAATGTTTTCAGTCTTCTGACCATGTTTCTATCTGCTTGACTGTATGATCCCAAGAATATCGAAAGATATAAGGAGATATAAAATCTATACATCTATATCTCCTCATCTAATCTATAATTATATGCGCTGTTCACAACTTTATTAATTTTCATATTTGTCTTTCCTTTGCTTAATAGCACATCCTATTTCATTTCCTCATAAACTATAGTTTCCTCAGCATGTTGATATATAAATTCTGAATTCTCAAGTTATGTTGCTCTGTGTTATTTGCATTACACACACTCTTAATGAATTGAGGGGGAGGGCAGTTGGAAGATCGAGTTTGTTTACTTATGACAGGTTTTTTGCGAGCTCTGTGCATTAGAAAGGCCATCATCTTGGTCGCCGTTCGCCTTGAACCCTATAATCGGTGGCAATGCGCTGACTGAGCTCAATGCCACGATCATGAGCCTCGATTGAGGCTTTAGATTTGGCTTAAGTCCTGCTGGGCCACCCAGATGGCGATTGTTACTCAATGCCGGCTGCCGTTTCCGTTGCAATTATGAAACGTGTTGCCTGGCATCCAATTTGGCTAACAAGGCAATTTCGCACAATGCCGGCCGTAAATTGCACGATCTTCTTCCCAATCGGTTTCACTTTTTACGCCCAGCCACATTAAGTCTACAGAAGCCTGTGTGTGCGGGCCTGTAATTGGGGCATTCGAGCCGACACACAGAACCAGTCTTGACGTGTTTCGTCGTAGCTGTTGTTGTAGCCGTTGTTGTTGTTGTTGTTGTTACTGTTGCTGTTGTTGGCGACAACAGCTGCCTGACATCATTCGTGCTGCCTGAACTGGTCAAGATTTTTGCCTGATAACAGCTAGTAATGAAACTACTTGTTGTACATACAACTAAGAAGCAAGTGAATACTGATATTTACCGCTCCTCATAGGGGTCTAAAATTTCCGTATTCCGTAGCGCATCCACATCTCTCTTGAACTGCTCCTCTTCGGCTGGCGGCTACAAATGTAATTGGCTTAATTGACTTGCTGCCGTGGCGACACTTTCAACTCTTTAAACACAAAAGGCAACACAAACATTTCAAGCACACACAATCCCACAACAAATTGTACACACACTCGCATACAAACAAACAGACAGACGGACAAACAGACGGACAGACAGACAAACATGAGTGCTGTTGTCGCCGACTTGACATGCAAATGAGTTGGAAGCGATGCTGGTTACGCGACCAGCCAGCAGGCGCCGTTGCTGGTGATGCTAGCAATGGCCGTTCATATAAAACACACACAGATCTACATATATACAAATATAAATATAGCTTTCCAAGAAATCATTAAAATCAATTAATTGATAAGCGTTTGTCACATTCGTATTATGACTAATAGTTGTGTGCTGCCTGTTAATAAGTATTTAAGGGGCGGCATTTTGAAACAAATTTTATTTATTGACGAGTATGCAAAGGCCAACAAATGTAGAAACAAAGTTCTGAAACTAAGTACGTGAGGAAATTTGTGCGTTTTATGAATTAACATCGTAAATGGGTTTCCATTAGAATTGCTGTGGCGCTACAAATTGGCGCAGAGTACAAATAAATGGAACTATATCGGATGATAGGATGATCATAGGAGAGGATTAAGGCTGAGAGGACGATTGCGTGTTAATCCTACATCTTTCCTGTTGCGTTTGATCTTCTTGGCCATTTAAGAGAAAATCCTTTTGGAATACTTTTCATTTGTAATACTCTTCACAGTTTAAATTGTGTTGCCTGAACTTATCCATTCATCCTAACGAGTAAGGTATAGTAACAAATTGATTTAAAATAAAATGATTTCATCCGAGGCTGTAGCATCTTTCAATGTAATCTCATTTCTTCTTTATTTTTATTGCTTTTTCTTCAGCTTCATTTATTTTTTTGTTAGGTGTAATAACGTTTCTGGATGCCCTTTTCTGTGAATCGGGGCTAGCAAATAAAGTTCCCCCACCGAAGAGTATTCTTTATTGATATTTGTTTACTTTCTATGGACTTTCTCTTCTTTAGTTGTATTTAGTTTAATATTGTAAAGATTTTTTCCCCAATTTTTTATAACGACAGCTTTATTTGTCGGTGAATTAATAAAACTTGTAACCTTATTAATAAATGAGCACGCTAGCTAATTTTTTGTTTACAAATATAACTGATAATTATTGTCAATTCCCGTTCGTTAGCCCGTGTTTGAGAACATTCTTACACACACACTACTTATATATGTTTCTTATCATTTCAACGTCTTTTTCAAAATATACAAAAGGGAATTCCCCGCACAGCACATCACTAATCTGTATGAAATAGCAGGTATACGTGTATGTCTGTCCATGTGCCTCTCTGTTTGGCTACATAATACAAAGTTCATCCGCTTACTTCACGCTCTTATCATCGACTCGCATTATGCTGCTGAGGCATCAAAGCCTCACCCTGTTAGCATTCTCGAACCTTTCTAGTCCACTTGACTGGCCAAGGCCGCCGGCACGTTATTGCATTGCAACGTGCCTTACTCTGCTGCCGTAATAAGCCTCATGTTTGTCTGTGTGTCAGTTTCTGGTTCCATGATTCGCTCGGGCTGCATACATGGATAGTATGTGACTCAGTCATCCATACTTACCCAGCCCATCCATGGAACCTCTGACCGCTCACTCACCTTTGCTGAAGAACAGGAATTTAATATCGTGTCGTTCTCTGTCTCCGTGTTGCTTCCCCCTCCCCTTCCCCCCTCCAACAGTGCAATTCCCTTAGCTTTCAATCACAGCACTTGTATTCCCACACCCCTACCTCTTGTTTATTTGCACGCATTCCGCACGAACTGTAGGAAAGGAAATGAAAGCCATTTTAAATATTTCTCATATTCCTGTGCTTATTATATTTGTATTTCGCTGGAAAAGCATTGGTTGGACAGTTTAAAATTGCATTTTGTGTCTTTATTGCGATTTATTACGTATTTTAATTGTCGTTATGCAGAACATTCCAAATGACTAATGATTATGAGTTGTCCCGAAATAATTATTATGAGCAACATTTCATCGACAATAAGTAACGGTCTCTTGAATCACACTAATTAGTCGGAGATTTCTGCGAAATACTTATATACATATATACATATGAGTATATACTTATATATTAATAGATTATGTATATAGTTCGGTCTCAATATCAGCTTCAGTTTGTTTCATTGATGCCTTATGTAGGTTATCTCTCAGCTTTCTATTGCCTTCTATGGTCTGGCATTTGTTGATCTGTGCTGTACCGTGGTTCCGTAGTTCTTCAGAATTGGGGGAGAAAGGTTTCTTAGGAATTCAAAAGTATATTTTAAAGCTTCTTTATTTTAAACTTATTAGTTTCCTTAGTATTAACAAACAACATTCATATTTGTAGAAAATATTCGGCTAAAAATTTCATATTTTATCCACAAAGTAAGCCGAATTATCTTTTATTTTTCTGAAACTATAACTTTTTTGAATCATATACACATATTTTCAAGATCAATCGGCTAGTTGATAGACTAGTTCGGCTGCGCCAACCTTTTTGATAAAATATTTATATTTATATTAAATGTTTCGTATTTTACAAGTAGATATTGAAAAGTAAGTCGACAAGAAATAGAAGAAGAAGAAACTGTAGCAGTAATATATATTTTACTGTAGAGTTATTCTTAGTCTTAATTTAACATTCATTATATTCTTCACATATGTACTTGTATGTACTTTCTACATTTGACAATTTGCCTGCAAGCTGTCTTTCTCTGTTAACTAACAGACCGCTTACAGCTGTTAGCCTTGGCTGCTGCAGTTGCCAGCCACGGCTGTAGTTTACAGCGCGCTGTTAACATATAAACACCATCTAAATAGGGTCTAAATACGATCGTTTTTAAATGTTTAATCAGTTAAATCTAGCAAAATCTAAATGCTAGTTGAAAAAGTAAATATAATTTAAAATTGTCCACCTTTAATAATAAAACTGAGTTATCGATCATTTGCTTTTGTTTTCTTGCACAAAATTGTTTTAAATCTGACAACAATGTATATGCATTCTATTTTCCGAATCCGAATCTAAACATAATTTCCAAAACCAAATATGAAGTTTAAATTTATTCTTCAATAGGCTGTAACACCATAGAAAATTGTTAGTATATGGAAACAAACCAAAACTGCCAAACTCGAGGTGACATGTTACTTCATCCTGGAGCGAGTTGTAATAGAAAATATTACAACACTGCATACTTCCCCCCAAACCTTATAACTATCTCTCCCTGATTATCAAAAGTTTAAATTTATGACTAATCTAAATAATATGTAAATAATTGAATAGCTTTGAATGTAAGCCATTTCGAAGCACTGTGCCTCACATTCAATGCCAACCCCTATTGGCTTATCAACTAACTCGACTGCTCGGCTGATCAATCATCTTGCCATCTAAAGTCGTCATGTATGTGCATAGTGCAAGTGATTATTTATATAGCAATCTAATCTAATTATAATATGAATTGTGGCGCACGCGAT